GGGATACAGTCCCAACGTAACGGGACAGCTACACCTGAACACTACGAATCTCCAGCCCACTGTTTCAACGCGCCTCGGAGTGTTTCAATCTCCGGGCCGTCAGGGCGAGCCTACTGCTCCAGACGCACCACAGAGGGTCTCAACCTCCGGGCCATCAAGTCAAGCCGTCAGCCATTCCATGACGGGACCACACTCTCCGAGCCATGTGAGCGCACAGCCCACTCGGCTAGACATGCCACGGAGTATTTCAATCTCCGGGCTGTCAGGTCAAGCCGTCAGCCATAGCATGACGGGACCACACTCTCCGAGCCATGTGAGCACACAGCCCACTAGGCTAGACATGCCACGGAGTGTCTCTATCTCCGGGCTGTCAGGTCAAGCCGTCAGCCATAGCATGATGGGACCACAACTCTCGTGTTAGACACGCAACACCCGCTGGGCCATCCTGGTCAGGATCTGCACCCCAAGATATTTGAGAGCCAGCATGACAATTCCAAATCCTTGGCAGCATGTCACCATCTCAAGATAAATGCCCCATACAGTCTATACATCGTTAACAATGACAGCACAAGCTATATATTAACAATCACGAACAAAGCTCAATACAACCCATACATTGTTAACAATCACAAGCAAAGTTTCGCACACACATTGACAACACTCACGAGCGAAGCTCCACACAGTTTACCCAACAACAATCACGACTCCCCGACGACAACGAAGAAAATGTCCACAAAAATCATTCATCCGGAACGCGTAAATGGACAAAGTGTCAGGGGCCTGGTCTACCGACCTCCAACCTTTGGTCAAAGCAGCAAAGGCGACGACCAGCGTGTCGATCGATGTGCCGGCCCCGGCGTCGGTTACAGTAAGAATGGCGCCCTCGCTGTCCGGTCGCAGCGCTGATGATGCGGTATGGTAAGTTGAAGCCAGCTGTCATCCGGCGGTGAAGGTCGCAGCGCTGATGACGCAGCGTTGTTTGGTTGGACCACGCTGGGCCTGGAAGTGACATTACTCCCAGCGGTCATTGCTCCCTCAGCAGAAGTGACGACACACCCGGAAGTATCCCCCACATTTGTGGCTGGAATGCCGGTCGCGGGAACGGCGGTGGCGGGCTCGGGCGAGCGCCGCGCCTCTTCTCTCCCTCCCGCCATCGCCTGTGAGCGCCGCATCCCGCCCAGGAGGGAGGCGGTGGCGCAGTGCAGCTCTGCGAGGCGAAGCAGCGCCTCCTCCATCCCTGCTCTCGACGCTGGAGAGGGGACGGTCGGCGGAGCAGACAGCTGTTCAGCCGGCAGTGCAGCGTCGCTGTTGGCCGGCGGTGCAGCGTCGCTGTCGGCCGGCGGTGCAGCGTCGCTGTCGGCCGGCGGTGCAGCATCACTGTCGGCCAGCGGCATCGTTGTCGGCCGGCGTTGGCCGCCCCATCGCTGCTTGCTCCTCGACATCGCCGTCAAGACTGAAGCTTACTTCTTGTCTCCATAGCCACTTCTGACTCCAAATGTAATTGGTTCCGGAGACACTTGGAGAGGTAACTTCTTTATTACAATCCAACAGCACTCCAACAGTCCAACAGTCCTGATACTCTGTAACAGCTCCCAGGTACACAGCCTAGGTACACAGCCTAGATACACTACTCTGGCTACGCTCTGGAACTCGCCCTCACAAGGACGTAGAGCCGGGAGTTCCAGAGTCCCACCACTCGCTCTCACAGCATCCCAGGGTCCTCAGATGGCTGGTCTTGGGTCTTGGGTCTTGAGCTACGACTGGCCCTGATCGTCCAGGGAGCTCCCCTTTTATGCCTAGTCCCCAACGAGGGGTGGGGCCGTGTGCACCCCCAGATATCCCACAGAGCACACACAGCTCCCCCCTTTGGCGGCGCCAAGGGGCTTAAGCACCTGGGAACCCAACGCCTGGCGCCAAGAGGCTTAAGCGTCTGACCCGCCTGGGAACCCAGCGCCTGGCGCCAAGGGGCCCAAGCGCCTGGCCCGCCCAGGGTCCCAGAGCCCCCAGCAGCCCCTCCCTTCTTATGTCACTACACTTCCATAAGGAATCCCACCCACTGTGGAGGAGCTGCAAACTGTTGTGAAGGAGACCTTTGGAGTTTCTGATAAGTTTAGTCTTCAGTATTTGAATTTGAAGATTACTTTTCTCTTGATACAAGTGACCACATTAAACACAAAGACACCATAAAGGTTGTTTACGCTGCCCCGATTCTTCTTAACTTGGCTAATGAATGTTTCGGCAGTTCCTTTGGTCAACAGTCAACTAACTGAGTCAGCATCTTATGTAGAGTCAACTTCATCAAATGCAGAGTCATGTACTGGAACGTCTTCTTCACAGACACCATTATCCGGTCCAGGCGAAGTACCACAGAACGATGTCAGCCATGGCCAAAGCAGTTCCCCATTCCACTGTTTTCGTACGAAACTGAGATGTACCTTGAAAGAGCCTCTGAATATTACAAGAAGAATGGAACACTTCTGACTAACTCAAAGGTCAAAGCAGACATACTTGAGAAGCTATCTGAAACCGTATATGCATATAAAGCCTATCCATCAAGTGCACAGATAAGTGATGTTGCTCAGGCACTTGTCGAGAAATATCATTTTCTCAAGGAACCCGGCTCTTTCTCAGGTTACTATGGCTGGCAACAAAGCATCAAGTACAAGATGGCAAATTATCGCACCAAACTCCGAAGCTACGGTGTTCCTGAGGTGATATGCAATTCACTGAAGCGCAAGAGCCCTGCAGATCAGAAGTCTGCAAATAGTGTAAAAAAGCCGAGGAAGGCAGAAGTAAATTACCTCCCCCCTTACCCGGCAGGAGAGGATGAAGAGAGTCAAGAACAAGAGAGGATTCAGTTGCTTACTGAAGTAAAGGGACAACAACCAAGTGATAAAAGAAAAAAATGTCCAAAACATTTGCACACAGAAGAAACGAAATCGTCAATTGAACGCCCAGCATAGATGACATCAAAGCCAGATGGCCAGCTCTATTTTAAGCATCTCATGTGAGTTACGAGTGCATGCTAATTAAACATATTCCTAGTCAATATTTAAGGCTTTATAGCTGATTTTCTTTGTTTTCAGATCCAGGATGAGTTTCAGAGAATCACAACGGTACACCTTGAATCAAAATTCATGTCCAAGCTGGATGAATACACATCCCAGGCTTCTGAGCATCTTCCACTCCAAGGGCGGAACCATGGCGTTGAAGTTGCAGGCCATCCTGCTCAAGGTATCTTCACTGAGTATTATGTTTGCTAATATTTTATTTTTAGGGATTTTGTGATCAAACTGCTCTAATATTATTAGCTTATTAAACAAATCTACATGATGTAATGTTAGCCTGTGATTCCCTCTACAAAAAGAGTATGAAATAATTGCATACCTTTTTTGTGCTGTCTCAGGGACTGGTCTAATGAAACACTTCCTGTCATTACTGAGGTTTTCCAGGGAACCAGCTGTGACTCCAGGAAGTCATTGGTCCCAGCCAAGAAATAATGCATAGCACATCAACTCCCATAACACGTTCCTTCGGAGTGGGTAGGTAGGAACTTGGTTGGACAGCGCATTCGTGCACGACAGACAGACAAATAATCCCTGGTGGGCAGTGTGGAACCTGTTGTTCCTACCTGTATAAGTGTAGTGTATCGTGTCATGTATAGTGTAGTGTGTTGGTTAAACGTTGAGTTTTATAAGGGCGCCAGGGGGTGACCAGCCCCTCCCCACCCAGCCCCACCCCTCCTACCCCCCACCCAGCCCCTCCCCACCCTCCCCTCTCCACCCAGCCCCACCCCTCCCACCCCCACCCTCCCCTCCCCATATGCACGACAGACAGACAAAACATTCCTGCGGGCGGAGCTGGTAGTAACGTTGGGTTGCTCGGTCAATGGCCAGGGTCAACGGCGGCGTGGTGTATTCTGCAAATATGCCCGACTGAGGGCGAGCACAAGCCGGCGTGAGTAGGTTAAACATTGATACAGGTAGGAATAACAGGTTCCACACTGCCCACCAGGGATTATTTGTCTGTCGTGCATCGGAATGCAGCCCACCCATGCACCCCCCCACCGACCGCCGAGCAGGACCACGATTGGTTGAGGATGTCGGGGAGGGTGGGGGGAAGGTAAACATGCCCAATCATCCAACTCCCCCCCCCCCCAAACGCCGAGCGGGGCCGACATTGGTAGAGGTGGGGTGTAAACACGCTCACTCATGCAATCCCCTCCCCACCGAACACCGAGCAACGCCGCGATTGGTTGACGATGTCGGGGAGGGTGGGGGGGTAAACATGCCCACTCATCCAACTGCCCCCCCCCCCCCTGAACGCCGCGCTGAGTGTGTGAGTCTGAGAGTGTGAGTGTGAGTCTAAGAGTGTGAGTGAGTCTGAGATTGTGAGTGTGTGTGTGAGTCTGAGTGTGAGAGTGAGTGTATGTGCGTGTGAGTCTGAGAGTGTGTGTGTGAGTCTGAAAGGGGAGGGGAGAGGGAGGTACCCGTCGGAGGCCGTCGGACTGCGAGGGGGGCGGCGTACATAACGAGAGAGTGAGCGAGAGAATGAGCGAGAGAGAGAGCGAGAGAATGAGCGAGAGAGAGAGCGAGTGAGATAGAGAGAGCGAGAGAGCGAGCGAGAGAGTGAGCGAGCGAGCGAGGGCTACATAAAGCCCCGTTTAAAAAAAAATTACGACATGATGAACGAAACAAAGTGCCGACTACACCGAGCATCTTCTTGTTTCCTCTGATCGTAAAAAAAGAGGGAGAGGAGAGGGAGGAGAGAGGGAGGGGAGCGGAGGGGAAGGGTCATTTTATTTCCCAATGAATAGTGGGTGGGGTTTAGTGGGTGGGGCTAGTGGATAGTGGGTGGGGGTTAGTGGGTGGGGGATAGTGGATAGTGGGTGGGGGTTAGTGGGTGGGGCTCGTGGATAGTGGGTGGGGGTTAGTAGGTGGGGCGAGAGGATAGTGAGTGGGGGTTAGTGGGTGGGGATTAGTGGGTGGGGGGTGTGGCTGTATCCTCCCACGCGGAAGAACAGCAGGCGGCTACTGACATTCGTGCGACGTCGCAAACAGCAGCAAGCGACAGTGACAGCTGCTGTAGTGGCTGGTGCGTGGTCGCCATCTCTCTCCTCTGCGTGCTGTGTAAGTAGCGAACACCCAGGGGAGGGTGGACTCACTACTGGTGCCAGGCTAGGTGCAGGAGGTCACGGGACAGACCCTGCAAGTGTCTATGGGGACGACTGCTGTGCCAGGCTAGGTGCAGGAGGTCACGGGACAGACCCTGCAAGTGTCTATGGGGACGACTGCTGTGCCAGGCTAGGTGCAGGAGGTCACGGGACAGACTCTGCAGGTGTCTATGGGGATGACTGCTGTGCCAGGCTAGGTGCATGAGGTCACGGGACAGACTCTGCAAGTGTCTATGGGGACGACTGCTGTGCCAGGCTAGGTGCAGGAGGTCACGGGACAGACCCTGCAGGTATCTATGGGGATGACTGCTGTGCTAGGCTATGTGCAGGAGGTCATGGGACAGACCCTGCAGTTGTCTATGGGGATGACTCCTGTGCCAGGCTAGGTGCACGAGGTCACGGGACAGACCCTGCAGGTGTCTATAGGGATGACTGATGTGCCAGGCTAGATGCAGGAGGTCACGGGACAGACCCTGCAGTTGTCTATGGGGTTGACTGCTGTGCCACGCTAGGTGCATGAGGTCACGGGACAGACCCAGCAGGTGTCTATGGGGATGACTGCTGTGCCAGGCTAGGTGCAGGAGGTCACGGGACAGACCCTGCAGTTGTCTATGGGGATGACTGCTGTTCCAGGCTAGGTGCATGAGGTCACGGGACAGACTCTGCAGGTGTCTATGGGGATGACTGCTGTGCCAGTCTAGGTGCAGGAGGTCACGGGACAGACCCAGAAGGTGTCTATGGGGACGACTGCTGTGCCAGGCTAGGTTCAGGAGGTCACGGGACAGACCCAGCAGGTGTCTATGGGGATGACTGCTGTGCCAGGCTAGGTGCATGAGGTCACGGGACAGACCCAGCAGGTGTCTATGGGGATGACTGCTGTGCCAGGCTAGGTGCATGAAAATACGGGACAGACCCAGCAGGTGGCTATGGGGATGACTACTGTGCCAGGCTAGGTGCATGAGGTCACGGGACAGACCCAGCAGGTGTCTATGGGGATGTCTGCTGTGCCAGGCTAGGTGCATGAGGTCACGGGACAGACCCAGCAGGTGTCTATGGGGATGACTGCTGTGCCCGGCTAGGTGCATGAGGTCATGGGACAGACCCAGAAGGTGGCTATGGGGATGACTGCTGTGCCAGGCTAGGTGCATGAGGTCACGGGACAGACCCAGCAGGTGTCTATGGGGATGTCTGCTGTGCCAGGCTAGGTGCATGAGGTCACGGGACAGACCCTGCAGGTGTCTATGGGGATGACTGCTGTGCCAGGCTAGGTGCATGAGGTCATGGGACAGACCCTGCAGGTGTCTATGGGGATGACTGATTGGAACGAATAATAATAAGTTATGCATTATTCATTTACCTGATACGATTTGAGAGTCGTCGTTCTATCCACTGAACCTTTGTAATGCTGCGTTTATGATTTTCCCTCGAGTTGGCGGATGACACCAGCAGTTCAGATAACACCCTTGAACCTTAGAGTGTAACACGTGCCCTGGAACACATCCAACATTGGGTAGACCTGCACCTAGCCTGGTACAGCGCGTTGCTACAACTGCGTCAACTCCGTGCTGTTTACTCATGGACATCGGCCACGTCTCAGTTGCGCAATAATGTTGCCTGCAACTCGTCTCTGCCCGTGAGTTGCGCAATGATGTTGCCTGCAACTCGGATCTCTTTTCCCCACGAGTTGCGCAGTGATGTTGCCTGCAACTCGGTCTCTTCCACTTGGACGTCTCTGCAACCAGTTGCTCACAGCGATGGTGTAGACTGCGCCTCCAAGCCGTCGATCCGGTTCTGAGTTTCTGAGCCCTGCAGCAGAGTGCGGGGACCCAACTCCATCTGTTCACTCCCTCTCTGCCCCGTGGGCGGTGTTAGTCTGTGGGCGCGGTGTTGGTCTGTGGGCGCGGTGTTGGTCTGTGGGCGCGGTGTTAGGCTGTGGGCGCGGTGTTGGTCTGCGGGCGCGGTGTTAGTCTGCGAGCGCGGTGTTGGTCTGCGAGCGCGATGTTGGTCTGCGAGCGCGGTGTTGGTCTGCGGGCGCGGTGTTGGTCTGCGGGTGCGGTGTTGGTCTGCGGGTGCGGTGTTGGTCTGCGGGTGCGGTGTTGGTTTGTGGGTGCGGTGTTAGTCTGCGAGTGCGGTGTTAGTCTGCGAGTGCGGTGTTGGTCTGCGAGTGCGATGTTGGTCTGCGAGTGCGGTGTTGGTCTGCGGGTGCGGTGTTGGTCTGCGGGTGCGGTGTTGGTCTGCGGGTGCGGTGTTGGTCTGCGGGTGCGGTGTTAGTCTGCGAGTGCGGTGTTAGTCTGCGAGTGCGATGTTAGTCTGCGAGTGCGGTGTTGGTCTGCGGGTGCGGTGTTGGTCTGTGGGTGCGGTGTTAGTCTGTGGGTGCGGTGTTAGTCTACGGGAAGTGTTAGTCTATGGATGCAGCGATAGTCTATGGGTGCAGTGTCATTGGGCAGTGTTAGTCTATCGGCTGTGTTAGTCTATGGGTGTGGTTATAGTCTATGGGTGCGGTGTTGGTCTATGGGTACTGTTCGTTTATGGGTGCGGCCTTTATTCTGTGGGTGCAGTATCATTGGGGAGTGTTTGTGCGGCTAATTTATACTCGATTGCTTGTTGTAAACGGGTGTGTCTATTTGGTGTGCATTTGTTTTTTTAGCATCACCATAATCATCGTCATCATCACCGTGAGCACCATCATCATCACCAAAATAATCACCACCATCACCACCATCAACACCACCATCAGCGGCCTCACTCTTTCATAGGCTGCTAATACATATTTAGGATAACAAAAGAGACAACCCCAGTTCCAAAATATGAGAATAGGGTTTTCCCCTTTTTTCTGGCAACTAAACAGGTGTAAAGATGTTAAAACACCAAACTTAAACCTTTTACAAGAAATCATGTCTGCATTAACTACAATACTTGTGGTCAGAATGCAAAAAATCACTCTGATAATATTTGCATTTTCTTTGAAACTGATTGGTCCACACCAGAGACAGCTTTCTTTTAGAGTCTATGGCTAGTAATAGTCTCCGTGTGCGGTGATAGTCTATGGGGGCGGTGCTAGTCTATGGGCAGTGTTCGTATCTTTATTTCACAAAGCTGTCTCTGGTGTGGACCAATCAGTTTCAAAGACAGTTGCATATATTATCAGCGTTTTTTTTTATTCTGACCACAAGCATTGTGGTTAATGCCGACGTGATTCCTTGTAAAAGGTTTCAGTTTGATGTTTTCACATCTTAACACACCTACTCTTAGGTTTTTTCGGTAAAGTCACGTAGGGGGAAAATAAATAATAAAATAACCAATAAAAATACTAGCAATAGTAATAATAGAAATAAAATAATAAATTAAAAACTAAGAGTCTTAATCCTTGCAGTCACGAAAGCTTCAAATCTAGACTTAACACACCCGTTTTGTTGCCCGAAAAAAGGGGAAAAACATCTTCTCAGACCACCACACAGTTTGAGCAGCATTTTTTTAACATTTTTTTACCGAAACTTGTTATCAGGCGAATGCCCACAGCACAAACTTTGCATACCACTAACACCTCAACCAAAGACAAAGGTCCCCCGTGTAGCCTGGAACAGACTGCTGGGGCAAGTGCTGTTTGTTAGTAGTAGCGAGCAGCCCCAGTAGCGCCTATGAAGGCCACTGGCACGCACAGAGGGGGTGGGTGGCCAGCACCACGCCCGCCCGGCTGCCTTCGTCTCTACATCTGTTATATGGTAGTGTATAGTAGTGTAATGTATAGTGTAGTGTATAGTGTAGTGTATAGTAGTGAAGTGTATAGTAGTGTATAGTGTAGTGTATCGTAGTGTAGTGTAAAGTGTAGTGTATAGTGTGGTGTATAGTAGCGTAGTATAATGTGGTGTATTTTATGTTTACTGCTACACCACTGCACCAGCGACCCATTTGAGGTCAGGTGGCTCAGGGTCGGTTCAAATATTCGTCACTGGCGTTGGTGGTGGCCGTGAGCGAGAATCGAACTCGGTTTGCCGGGTTCGTAGTGCAGCGATGACCTGGCCGCCACCACCACCACCACCGCTGGCACCTGCACCATCGTCACCACCACCTCCACCACTAACACCACCCCCACCACAACCACACACACCACCAGCAGCACTCCTTCCAGCACCACCCCCACCACCACCTCCCCCACCATCACCAGGGCGAGGTGGAATTTTGCTCGTGCCGCGTGAGTCATTTGGCTCGAACTCCGTGTCGCCTTATAACTGGTACTTATTTCTTCAGTGTGCCAGTGAGTTGCCTCATTGCTGTCCCCCCTCCTCTCACACACAGGAACCGCCATCTGCAATCATGAATTGTGGACTCATCTTCATTCATGAGTATCAAGAGAAAGGTGAGTGTGTGTGGGTGTACGCAGGATGAGTGTGTGTGTGTACTCAGGATGAGTGTGTGTGTGTACGCAGGATGAGTGTGTGTGTGTACGCAGGATGAGTGTGTGTGTGTACTCAGGATGAGTGTGTGTGTGTGTACTCAGGATGAGTGTGTGTACTCAGGATGAGTGTGTGTGTGTACGCAGGATGAGTGTGTGTGTGTACTCAGTGTGAGTGTGTGTGTGTACACAGGATGAGTGTGTGTGTGTACTCAGGATGAGTGTGTGTGTGTACTCAGGATGAGTGTGTGTGGTGTATACGTGTATGTGTGTGTGTACTCTATTGAGGAGGCTCATGAAGGACGCTGCTACTGGTCAGTTGGAGGCAGTCGCCCTCCAACAGCAGCGGAGGGCATAGGAGTGACGCTCACAACAATGAGTGGAGCGCGAGTTGGCACAGTAGTGGACATTGCTGGTGCATCTGCCAGTCATCTCAGTGGGTCAACCCATGGCACCTTCTGGGTCTGTACCGTGATCTCCTGCCATCAGCGACCCTTGGACACTTAACGTGGCCTGAAAGTGCACCTAGACTGGCACAGGTGCCGTTGTGACGTCACCGTCACTTAGTGGCGAATTGCAGGTGTTCTGTGTACGTGTGTGGCGCTATCTGAACCGGTCCTGGGCCTCCCCTAGGTTGACTCAGCCTCAAATAAGTGCCTGGTGCCACAAGGGAGACAAAGGCGGCCGAACGTTGTGCTGGCCACCCAATGCTTCATGTACCGTGCTGGCCTATATTAGTGATGCTCGCTATCAGCTCTTGCCCCAATAGTCTGCTGATGCTATACAGGGTAGCTTTCTCTTTGTTGTGTGTATGTCGGTATTTTTTTACTTAAAACTTACGTGACTACAGGAATTAATATTCTATGGTTCTTTCGGTAAAGTCATGTAGATAGAAAAATACAAATAAAATAAAGTGAATAAAAAAAATAAACAAAAACCACGACGTTTCAATCACAACACAAGTGATCGTCTCCAGGAGGAAAGACGATCTCTTGTGTTGTGACCGAAACGTTGTGGTTTTTTTTCATTTTTATTTAATTTGTATTATTTGTATTCACTTTATTTTCATTATTATTTTTCTTCTATTTACGTGACTTTACCTAAAGAACCAAAGAATATACCATTGGAACCTCATTTGCTAATCAAAAATATGATAATTGTTTTTTTTACCCTTCTATCTGGCAACAAAACTGACACCTTTTTAACAATGAGTCATGTTTACATAGACCACAATATCTGCAGTCATAATGCAAACAAAAAACATAACTCTGATAATGTATGCACTGTCCTTTAAGTTGATTGGTCCACACCCGAGATGACGCCTTTTGGCATCATCTGGTCCAACCCATGTGAGACTAGGCTCTAAGGAAAGCTGTCTCGGGTGTGGACCAATCAATTTCAAGGACAGTGCACATAATCAGAGTTATGTTTTTTGTTTGCATTATGACTGCAGGTATTGTGGTCTATGTAAACATGACTCCTTGTTAAAAAGGTGTCAGTTTTGTTGCCAGATAGAAGGGTAAAAAACCAATTATCAACCAAAGAATATGTCTGTCTGTCTGGAGAGGTGGGTGGGGCTAGAGGCTGAGGGGGCATGGCTGTGACATAATGGGTGGGGCTAGTGACTAAGCGGGTGTCATTTTGAAAACGAAAAAACGTTGTTCATGATAATACGAGATTCGCCTCACCTCACCTGACCTCACCTCACTTCACCTGACCCCAGCTCACCCGACCTCACCAACTCACCTGACCTCTCCTCACACGACCTCACTTCATCTCACCTGACCACTCCTCACCTCACCCGACCTCACCTCACCAACTCGCCTGACCTCACGTGACCTCACCTGACCTATCCTCACCAGCTGTGCCGCTGAAGGCCGTGTCGGTGGAGGTGAGCGTGCAGGGCTTTGTGGCCTCCGTGCGCGCCACGCTCAGCTACCTCAACGCCGAGGCCTTCCCCGTGGAGGCCTCCTTCCTCTTCCCGCTGGACGACGACTCGGCGGTGCACGCGTTCAGCGCCAGCCTCAACGGGCGCCACATCGATGCCGTCATCAAGGAGAAGGAGAAGGTGGGTGGGTAGTGGGTTTGTGAGTGGGTGGGTTTGTTAGTGGGTGAGTGAGTGGGTGGATGATTGGGTGAGTGAGTGGGTGGGTGAGTGGGTGAGTGGGTGGATTAGTGGGTGGGTGAGTGAGTGGGTGAGTGAGGGGTGAGGGGTGGGTGAGTGAGTGGGCGAGTGGTTGAGTGGCTAGGTGGGTGAGTGAGTGGGTGGGTGGGTGGGTGGTGGTAGAGTGGTGCATTTGAGTGGGTGAGTGAGTGGGTGGAGAAGGAGATGGTATGGATACCGGGGCGGCCCATCCCACTGCAGTGGCCAGGGGTAGCTGTGTCATTTGTGGGTGGAGATTGCGGCTGAGTGGGCGAGGCTATGTCAAAGTGGGCGGGGCTCTAGCCGGAGTGGACATGACTGGGCAGTGGACGTGCAACGGTTGGCGTGCTTTGCTACGAACCCTGGCAGGTCCGAGTTCATTTCCCACTCACGGCCACCAACACAAGTGATAGTGATTATCTGAACGGGTCCTGGGCCTCTCCTAGGTAGACTCAGTCTTAAATGAGTAGCCGGTGCGGTGGTGTAAATATCACCACTGGGGAGACAAAGGCGGCCAGGCGTGGAGTTGGCCACAAACCTAACCCATCGTGTGCCGTGCCGGCCTTCATATGTGCTCGCTAACAGCACTTGCCCGAACAGTCTGTTCAGGCTATATGGGGGATGTTTGTCTTTGATGTGAGGGTATGTGGGTAAATGGGTGAGTGGGTGAGAGAGTGGGTGAGTTTGTGAGTGGGTGGGTAGGTGTGTGTGCTAGTCAATGAGTTAGTGAGTGGGTAGGTGAGCATGCTAGTGAATGCTTTAGTGAGTGGTTGAGTGAGTTAGTGGGTGGCTGAGTGAGTGAGTGGGTGGATGTGTGAGTGGATGATTGAATGGCACCGTGTCTCCCACGGAGTGCTTCATGTCCCCAGGCCAAGGAGGAGTACGACGATGCGATGAGCTCCGGCCACACGGCCTTCCTGCTCTCCGAGGACCGGGGCGACGTGTTCCAGTGCATGCTGGGCAACCTAGGGGCGGGCGAGGGGGCGGAGCTGCGGGTGGAGTTTGTGAGCGAGTTGGCGGTGGAACCGGACGGAGCGGTGAGATTCTGCCTGCCCACGGTGCTCAACCCTCGCTACACGCCGCCAGGTGAGGTGACGAGATGACTACAACACAGCGGTCGTAACGCAGCGATATCGCGGTGAGAACAATGTGGCCAATTTGAACTCGCTGGCTCAGTATCCGACACGGAGGACCCGGAGAAAAATCTATGCTACAACGGGGAGAGAGACACCGCAAACTCCAAATATACAGCAGGCGTCAGGACTGGTATCGAACCCACAAACTCCTGTACCAGGCGAGGGACTTAACATTTCCTAGTCACCGTAATGATGGTGAGAGAGAGAGAGACCGCAAACTCCAAATATACAGCAGCAGGCATCAGGGTCGGGATCGAACCCACGACCTCCTGTATACTAGCCGAGGGAGTTAATATCTCCTAGCCAATGTGGCGCTCCCACCAAGAAGGCCCCAACCGTCATCGTCCACCACCAACCACCATCACGTAACACGTTGCTTAAAACTGCAGCGAATCTGCGGCTCTCACATCGGCCTCTTCAAGCCTCACTGCCTCAGTCTCCGACACGGCCATTGTGAACCTTCCATTGACGAACACACGCCTCTTTCCCTCCCTCTGCTCTCTCCCTCTGCTCCCTTCCCTCCCATCCCCTCCCTCCCACCACCAGACTCATCACCAGCAGACTCCGCGCTGCCCTTTGTGCCATTTGTGAGCTGCTCCCAGCCGCTGCCCTACTCAATGGCCTTCCGTCTTCGCGCCGAGGCTCCAGGAGGCATAGCTGCCGTCACCTCGGCCTGCGACCTTGGGCCGGTCTCCTTCTCGGGCCCTGGCAACTCCGTGGCTGAGGCAAGGGTGGCTACGTGCCGGTTCGGAGATGTTAACTTTCTCGCTTGGTACGCAAGAGGTTGTGGGTTCCGATCCCGACCCTGACAAAATGTTAACTACCTCTGCTGCTACGCAGGAGGTCGTGGGTTCTGATCCCAATCCTGAAAAGATGTTAACTACTTTTCCTGGTATGCAGGAGGTCGTGGGTTCCGATCCAAACCCTGACGAGATGTTAATTACCTCGCCTGCTACGCAGGAGGTCGTGGGTTCTGAACCCGACCCTGACAAGATGTGAACTACCTCTCTTGGTATGCATGAGGTCGTGGGCCCTGACTAGATGTTAACTACCTCGCCTGTTACGCAGGAATTTGGAGGTTCCAATCTTGACCCTGATGAGTTTGCGTCTCTCTTTCTCCACGTGGTGAGATTTTAACTACCTCACCTGGTAAACAGGAGGTCGTGGGTTCCGATTCCAGAGCCTGATTCTGAAACCTGTTGTATATTTGGAGTTTGCAGTTCCTCCAGTTTTTCCCCTCCACATTTACAATCAAAGTCTCTATGGCTACTGCTTTACATTTCCACGTGATGATGATGATGATAAGCCACTTGGTCGGGCTATTATTTGTGATTGCGAGGTCACTTCTGAAAATAGTTTAGTTTTAGTATAGATCTCTATGAGTAAGGTTGTTTTGTGGGTCTCTATGGTTCTATATGAGTCTCTGCTTCTATATGAATCTCTGTGGGTCTCTGATTCTATATGAGACTCTGGGTCTCTATGGTTCTATATGAGACTCTGGGTCTCTATGGTTCTATATGAGTCTCTGGGTCTCTGTGGATCTTTTTGGTTCGATATGAGACTCTGGATCTCTATGGTTCTATATGAGTCTCTGGGTCTCTATAGTTCTGTACGAGTATCTCTGGGTCTCTATGGTTCTATATGAATCTCTGGGTCTCTGTGGGTCTCTATGGTTCTATATAAATCTCTGGGTCTCTGTGGGTCTTTATGGCTGTATATGAGTCTCTGGGTCTCTGTGGGTCTCTATGGTTCTATATGAGTCTCTGGGTCTGTGGGTTGCGCCGCGTAGCTCTAGATTGCGCCGGGTTTTGCCGGGTTGCATCAGACAGTTCTGGATTGCACCGGGGTTGCGCGCGGATTGCGCTGGGGTTGAGTTTTTGGTTGCACTATATGGTGGCCATGAGCGGTGATGGCCTCCCTCCCTTCTCTACCACCCCTCCACTCCCTCCATTCCCTCCCACCCTCCCTCACCCTCCCTCCTGTTCCCTCCCCACTCCTGCTCCACCACCACGCCTACCGTGTGCCCAGGTGTCTCTGGGGGAAGGGTTCAAGATGGACCGTGACGTGGAGCTGTTTGTCCACCCAATCCAGAAGCACCGCCCCTTCGCACTGCTGGAGGCGGGTGGCACGGCTAAGGGTACGGAGACACACGGATGCACACACACAGACACAACAACAACAACTGCCATTCGCTACTAAGTGGCGGTGACGTCACCATGGTGCCTGTGCCAGGTCAGGTTAATTTTGAGGCCACGTGAAGTGTCAAAGGCTCGCTGCTGACAGGAGGTCACAGCACAGATCCAGCGGGTGCCATGGGTTGGCCGACTGAGATGACCGGTAGATGCACCACCACCAGTTGTACCCCCCACTTTGCCCACTTGCTGCGTTTTAGGCCGCCCGGTGCTCCGCTCGTTGTTGTGAAAGTCGCTTCGCTGCCCTCCGTTCTTGCTGGAGGGCGAATGCCTCCAACTGCACAGTAGCGTCTTTCACCAGCCTCCTCCATAGAGGCCGATCTTGAAACCACTGGGGCCAGTCATGGGCAGGTCCACTCAGCTCCACATCCTCTCGTACCGCATCAGTCCGTCGCTTCTTCAGCCCATGTCATGCCCGTTTAGCCCCTTTTATTCTGCCAAACAGAAGCTGCTTGGGCATGCGGGCTACATGACCTATACATTGCAGCCTTGCCTACTGGAGGAGCTCACTGATGGGAATGTGTCCAGATCTTTCGAGGATTTGTGAGCTCACACAATCCAGCCTGGTTAAATCCAGGATGGATCGTAGGCATGCTAGCCTGAATGTTTCTAACCGGCTCAGATGTTCCATTCGGGGGGTCCGCTTTTCACAAGCGTAGAGAAGGGAGGGCATGACTGTGGCCGAGAAGACCTAAAACTTCGTGTGGAGTGACACACAGTGTTTGCCAGCCGATGAAAATATAATGCCGCTCGACTTATTCGGAGCGAGAGACCTCTGCTGTCAAACCGGAGCCGGTCATGAGCACACTGCCCAGGTATGGGAAACTCTCCACTCTCTCCACAACTGCCGCATCAACAATTGGGAATTGTGGGAGTCGATTTTCCTATGGTACAAAATACCCAGGCAAGTGCTTAGTTTTGGTGGGGCTGATGGTAAGGCCCCACCTCTTAGTAGCAATCTCCAGGTTCAGCAGCATCTCCAACTCCTCCTCTGAGTGAGCAGCAATTACCAGATCATCGGCATACATAACATGGTTAAAAAAATAGGGAGCCATCCCTTGACCACACCCGGGCATCGATGAGCCTCTCATTCTATCTGTACCAGATGGAAATTCTTCCGGTACAGCTATTGAAGGCTTCACGAACTACGTCATCGAAACAGATGTTAAATAATGTGGGAGCCAGAGGACATCCCTGGCGCACCCCAAGGTGTTAAGGGAATGGCTCCGACTCCCAGCCACGTAGTTTTAGCCGGGCATTCTCACCATCATGAAGGTCCTTAATGATCGTGAGCAGTGGGTCAGGGACTCCGAAAGCATGAAGAACAATCCACAGCCCAGGCCTACTGATGGTATCATAGGCCTTGACCAGGTCAATAAATAGAGATGTAGGTCTTTTTTTAATTCCCTACACTTCTGCTGTAGCAGACGGACATAAAATATGCCATCAGTGCAGGACCGCCCTTTCATGAAACCACATTGGGGCTCCGCAAGACTCTCGTCAGCATGCCTGGCAAGGCGATGTTGAATAATCCTTGCCAGAACCTTTCCCGGCAATACCACACACACACAAACAGACAGAGACACACACACAGATACACACACAGATGGAGGGTCCCCCAGGTAGCATAGAAACGGGATGGTGGGGGCAAGTGCTGTTAGTAGCGATTAGCAGCACCAGTGAGAGCCGGCACACAAAAGACAAAGACAATACCTTAGACACATATACACCCACACACTCGTACAAAGACCCATACCTCCGATTATCACGGTTGGCTCTGTATAATGTTACATAATTTCAGCTTTCACACGAACATACACTAACAAAGAGACCCATAGTGTCACACAGAGACCCATAGACTCACACAGAGACCCACAGACTCATCACTTTAGAGACCCACAGACTCACCACACAGTGTAGTGTTTCGAAGTGTAGTGTATAGTAGTGTCGTGTACAGTGTAGTTTATAGAAGTGTAGTGTAGTATATAGAAGTGTAGTGTATAGTAGTGTAGTGTACAGTGTAGTGTATAGAAGTGTCGTGTATAGTAGTGTAGTGTACAGTGTAGTGTATAGAAGTGTCGTGTATAGTAGTGTACAGTGTAGTGTATAGTAGTGTACAATGTAATGTATAGAAGTGTAGTTTATAGTAGTGTAGTGTAAAGTGTATTGTGTAGTGTATATCGTATCTGACAGCAGAGCAATGGTGGGGTGACTGTCTTTGTTCGATGGCTTAGCCAGAAGCCGCTGCTGCGAGGATGAGTGGAGTGTCGCATGATGATGGTTTATAGCTCCTTGTGCGACGACCTTATAGCAACGTATTAGTTTGGCTCACTGAGCTGCATTGGCTTCTGGTTGCCGAACGAATACAGTCACTCACTCTCCCAGTAACTCACCCACCAAGTCAATCACCCAGTCACTCACTCGCTCACTCACCCACCCAGCTAGTCACTCACCTACTCACTTACTCAGTCACATACCCAGTCACTCATCCACCCAGTCACTAGCTCATTCACCCAGTCACTCACCCACTCACTTACCCAGTCACTCATCCACCCAGTCACTAGCTCATTCACCCAGTCACTCACTCGCTCACTCAACCACCCACCTAGTCATTCACCCAGTCACTCACCTACTCACTTACTCAGTCACATACCCAGTCATTCATCCACCCAGTCACTAGCTCATTCACTCACTTGCCCAGTAACTCACCCACCTAATCAATCACCCAGTCACTCACTCGCTCACTCATCCACCCAGCTAGTCACTCACCTACTCACTTACTCAGTCACATACCCAGTCACTCATCCACCCAGTCACTAGCCCATTCACCCAGTCACTCACCCACTCACTTACCCAGTCACTCATCCACCCAGTCACTAGCTCATTCACCCAGTCACTCACTCGCTCACTCAACCACCCACCTAGTCATTCACCCAGTCACTCACCCACTCACTTACCCAGTCACTCATTTACTCAGTCACTCACTCATTCACCCAGTAACTTGGCCGGTCACTCGCCTACCTAGTAATTTACCCATAGACTATACAGTCACTCACTTACCTAGTCACTCATTTATTTGTCAGTGAGCCAGTTACTCAGCTCACCTCTAGGTCACCTCACCAGGCCCCCCACTACCGTCACTGTCTCTAAGCCCTCGCAACAACCCACAACCTCGTGCTTACCAGGCGAGGAAGTCAACATCCACGACAACGCGGCCAAACTCTGATCCTCTTTTTCTCTACCCCTTCCTCCTCCCCCTCCTCCTTCCTCCTCTCCCCTCCCCTCCTCCATAACCTCTTCCTTCCCCCCTCCCCCCTCACCTCCTCCTCCTCCCAGCCTCCTCTCTGATGAGTGACACAGTGGCCATGCTGAACTTCTTCCCGGATGCTGGAGAGACCAAGTCCGCCAAGGGGGCGGAGGCGTTGACTCAGAAAGGGGAGTTCATCTTTGTGGTGGACTGCTCCGGCAGCATGGAATGCCCCATGGTCAATGACGGCAGCGGAGGGAGGGAGACTCGCATCCACAGCGCCAAGGTGGGAAAGTCGCTGTGGGGCTCTGTGTGTGTGTGGGGGTCTCTGTGTACGTGTGTGTAGGTCTCTGTGTACGTGTGTGTGTGGGTCTCTGTGTGTGTGGGTCTCTGTGTGGTGAGTCTGTGGGGCTCTATATGTGTGTGTTTGTGTGTAGGCCTGTGTGTGTGGGGGTCTCTGTGTTTTTGTGTGTGTGGGTCTATGTATATCTGTGTGTGTGGGTCTCTGTGTATGTGTGTGTGTGGGTCTATGTGTATCTGTGTGTGTGGGTCTCTGTGTGGTGAGTATGTGGGGCTCTATGTGTGTGTGTGGGGCTCTATGTGTTTGTGTGTAGGTCTCTGTGTGTGTGTGTGTGGGTCTCTATCCCGGGATAGAGTCATTTTGTTGAGTGACTTCAATGCCCTTGTCAGTCATGATGCTGGCACCTGGTTGGGAGTGATTGGAAGGCATGCGCCAGATCAGCTTAATAACAACGGTAGGAGGCTGATAGATTTTTGTGCAGCCCATGGGCTTGTAATTACCAACACGCTGTTCTGGCATCGGCGCATCCACACAACATCATGGATGCATGCCGGGTCCAAGCAAGAACATCTGCTGGACTACATAGTGACGGATCAGCGGATGCGAGCCCATGTCCTTGACACCAGGACCTACCGTGGAGCTGATCTGCCCTCTGACCATCGACTTGTCATCTGTAAAATGCGCCTGCCATTCTTCCACTCCGGTGGTGGGTGTACACCCAAGACCCAATTCCAACCCAAAGTGGCCTGGTCTCAGTTAGCTGATGAAAGTTGCAAACGAGAATTTTATCATCGTTTGCAGCTGGGGTTGGCATTATCCCCCACTCCTGATTTTGAGGGTAAATGATCGAGGTTTAGGACCGTGACTCATGCACCTGCAATGGCTGCTTTGGGTACGCGGTCCAGACCACCCCAGAGACCCTGGCTGACAGAGGAGGTGTTCAGGATGGTTGAGAAAAAGCGACAGGCCCACTCTAATCATCTACAGCATCCCACGTCAGAGAATGAGGAGGCTTACCGCAGCCTTCGCTCGGAGGTTCGGAGAGCCGTGAGGCGCTGCAAGGATAGGTGGTGGTCGCGGGTTGCTGAGGAGATGGAATCCTCTGTGGCTCGCGATCACAAATCATTCTTCACCTCCATCAAAAAAGTAACCTGCAGCGCCACACCTATTACCATCATTAGGGGAAAAAACGGTGATCCAATCTCCGACCCCCAAGAACAGGTTTGTAGATTTGCTGAGAATTTCTGTGAGGTCCTGGGGGAGGGGAAATCCCTCAGCCTGAAAAACATTGTGGCATAAAGTGGGGATGACCCTGCTGAGGCTGCGGTGCCTGAAATATTGGAAGAAGAAGTCAACCCCCTGTGAGTGGCTGGCTGAGGTGCCATCTGTTGAGGAAGTACTGAAGGCGATCCAGAGTCTGAGACCAGGAAAGGCACCGGGCAGATGGTGAGCGGGCCCGGGTAAAACTATGTGGCCGGGAGTCAGAGCCATTCCCTGTACACCTTGGGGTGCGACAGGGATGTCCTCTGGCTCCCACATTATTTAACATCTATTTTGACTACGTAGTGCGTGAAGCCTTCATTAGCTGTACCGGGGTAATTTCCATTTGGTACAGATTAAATGGGAGGCTGATCGATGCCGGGTGCAGTCAAAGGATGGCTCCCTTTTGTCAACCACATTATGTATGCCGATGATTTGGTAATTGCTGCTCATTCAGAGGAGGAGTTGGAGGCGCTGCTGCTGAAACTGGAGTATGCCACTAAGAGGTGGGGCCTTACCATCAGTCCCACCAAAACTAAGCACCTGCCTGGGTATTTTGTACCATCAGACACTCCACCCCCACAACTCCCAGTTGGTGGTTGGGCAGTTGTGGAGAGAGTGGAGAGTTTCCCAGTCCTGGGCAGTGTGCTCATGACCGGCTCCAGTTTCACAGCAGAGGTCTCACTTCGAATCAGTTGAGCGGCAATGTATTTTCATCGACGCGTAACGCTGTGTGGAAGCTGCCTGGTCTGTCGCTCCACATGAAGCTTCGGCTCTTCTCGGCCATGGTCATTCCCTCCCTTCGCTACACTTGCAAAACGTGGACCCCCCTAATGGAACATCTTCGCCAGTAAGAAACATTTAGGCTGGGCTGCCTACGATCCTCCAGCAGGCAAAGCTGCATTGGTTGAGTCGTGTAGCCAGCATGTCCAGCCACCGCATGCCTAAGCGGCTTTTGTTCGACCGGATAGAGGGGGCTAAACGGGCGCAGTATGGGCTAGAGAAGGGATGGAGTGATGTGGTACAAGACAACGTGGAGCTGAGTGGACTTGCCAATGACTGGTACTGGCGGTGTCGAGATCAGCCTCTGTGAAGGAGGCTCGGGAAGGACGCAACTGGGCAGTTGGAGGGAGTCGCCCTCCAACAACAACGGAGGGCAGATAAGCGATGCTCACAACAACGAGCGGAGCGCGGTGGCTATAGCACAGCAAGTTGGCACAGTAGGGGGCACAGGTGGTGCATCAGACAGTCGTCTCAGTCATTCCGTGGTACCTGGGTCTGCCCCGTAATTTCCTGCGAGCGGTCGTTAGACACTTCACGTGGTCTCAACATGCACATTGCCTGGCATAAGCGCTTTTACCGCCACTTAGTGTCGAATGGAGGTTGTTGTTGTTGTGTGGGTCTCGGTGTGTATGTAGGTCTATGTGGTTCGCTGTGCGGTGATTCTCTGTGTCTGTGTGTGTGGGTCTCTATGTGGGTCTCTGTGTGTTGAGTCTGTGGGTCTCTGTTTGGCAAGTGTGTGGGTCTCTGTGTGTGTATTGGTCTCTATGTGGGTCTCTGTGTTGTGAGTCTGTGGGGCTGTGTGATGAGTCTGTGTGTCTGTGTGGTAAGTCTATGGGTCTTTGTGTGGTGAGTCTGTGGGTCTGTGTTTAGTGAGTCTATGGGTCTGTGGTAAGTATGTGGGTCTGTGCGGTCTGTGTGGTAAGTCTATGGGTCTTTGTGTGGTGAGTCTGTGGGTCTGTTTGGTGAGTCTGTGGGTCTGCGAGTGGTGAGTGTGGGTTTTTGTGTGTGTGCGTCTCTGTGTGTGTGTGGGTCAATGTGGGCCTCTGTGCGGTGAGTCTGTGGGTCTGCGTGGTGTGGGTCTGGTGGTGAGTCTGTGGGTTTGTGTGGTAAGTTTGTGGGTCTGTGTGGTGAGTCTATGGGTCTGTGTGGTGAGTCTGAGTCCTTTGCTTGCACCGTGTTAAACTGTGGCCTCCTTTCTTCTATGCTTTTCTCATGCTTCCCACATGTAAATTTCATCCTTCCCCCATGTTAATTCCATGCTTCCCCAATGCTTCCCCCATGCCTACGCCATGTTAATTCCTTGCTCCCCCCCCTGCAGGAGACGCTGATGCTGCTGCTGAAGAGTCTGCCTCTCGGCTGCTTCTTCAACGTCTACGCGTTTGGAAGCAGCTACAACAGCTTCTTCCCGTGAGCCTCCACCCTTAGCCCCCCGTAGCCCCTCCCACATCCCCTAGCCCCTTACCCAGCCCCCTAGCACTCAGCCCCCCATGTTACTCAGACTCTGTATTTAGAGTGGAGGAGGAGGATGAATCCGATGAGCTATGAAGCTCTTATTCACAGATGACCATTCCTCCCCAGGGAGGGAGGAGGGAGTGTGGAGTGGCGAGCGAGGGTGGAGGCGGGGAGGGACGGTGGAGGCGGGGAGGGAGGGTGGAGGCGGGGAGGGACGGTGGAGGCGGGGAGGGAGGGTGGAGGCGGGGAGGGAGGGTGGAGTGGGGGGAGGGTGGAGTGGGGAGGGAGGGTGGAGGGAGGGAGGAGGCAGGGAGGGAGGGTGGAGTGGGGAGGGAGGGTCTAGTGGGGAGGGAGGATGCGGAGAGGGAGAGTGGAGGTGTGGAGGGAAGGTGGAGGCGGGGAGAGAGTGTGGAGGCGGGGAGGGAGGGTGGGGGCGGGGAGGGAGGGTGGAGTGGGGAAGGAGGGTGGAGTGGGGAGGGAGGGTGGAGTGGGAAGGGAGGGTGGAGTGGGGAGGGAGGGTGGAAGCGGGGAGGGAGGAGTGAGTGGGGAGTGGGGAGGAAGGGAGAGGGGAGGGAAGGGAGGAGCAAGGGGGGGAGGGAAGGGAGTGGGTCAGATGGAGGGAGCGAAGGGGAAGGGAGAGGGGGTTTGGAGGAGCGAGGGGAGTGGGGGCTGTGGATGCCACGGTGTAACCACCCCGGTGATGAGAGTTGACGTCTCGGTCCCGCTTGCTGTACTCCCCCCCGCCCAGGGAGAGCCGTGAGTACTCGCAGGCGAGCATGGACGAGGCGCTGAAGCTCGTCAAGGGGATGAGCGCCAACTTGGGGGGCACCGAAATCCTGGAGCCGTTGGTGGCCATCTACCGCTCGGCATGCCGGCCGGAACACCCCCGGCAGGTGAGTGGCGCGGTCCAACCGCTACCTCCCCCACCCCCTCCTCCTCTCGCCATTCGGCAAGTCGCGCTTGGGCCAGTCCATTGTGATCGACAACATTGTGGGGGGGGGGTTTGGAGGTGGTTTTAGTGTCTTTAAGGGGTAACCCAAAATTACAAACGTCCCCCGGGTAGACACACAGATGCGCACAGAGGCGCACGTCAATATACACAACAACCGTCATTCGCCACTAAGTGGCTGTGATGTCACTACGACGCTTGTGCCAGGCTATGTGCACCTTGAGGGCACGTGAAGTGTCGAACGCCCGCTGGCAGGAGGTCACGGGGTAGACCCAGGTCCCACGGGATGATTGACTGAGATGGCTGGCTGAAGCACCACCTGTGCCCCCTACTATGCCAATTTGCTGTGCTGTAGCCACCCGGCGCTCTGCTCGTTGTTGTGAGCATCGCTCCTCCGCCCTCCGTTGTTGTTGGAGGGCGACTGCCTCCAACTGCCCAGTAGCGTCCTTCACGAGCCTCCTCCACTGAGGCCGATCTTGACACTGCTGGTACCAGTCATCGGCAAGTCCACTCAGCTCCACATCCTCCTGTACCACATCACTCAATCTCTTTTCTAGCCCATGCCATGCCCGTTTAGCCACCTCTATCCGGCCGAACAAAAGCTGTTTGGGCATGCCGTGATTGGGCATGCGGACTACATGGCCCAGCCAACGCAGCCTTTCCTGCCAGAGGAGCTCACCGATGGGACTTTGTCCAGATCTTTCGAGGATTTGTGAGCTCCTCACACAATTCAGCCTGGTTAAACCCAGGATTGATCGTAGGCAGGCCAATCTAAATGTTTCAAACTGGCGAAGATGTTCCATTATGGGGGTCCACGTTTCACAAGCGTAGAGAAGGGAGGGAATGACCGAAGCTTCGTGCGGAGTGACAGACCAGGTAGCTTCCACACAGCGTTACGCAACCGATGAAAAAATAATGCCACTCTACTCATTCGGAGTGCGACCTCTTCTGTTAAACCGGAGCCGATCATGAGCACACTGCCCAGGTATGGGAAACTCTCCACTCTCTCCACAACTGCCCCATCACAGATTGGAAGTTGTGGGGGTGGAGTGTCCGATGGTACAAAATACCCAGGCACACACGTACACACACACACAAATACAAAGACAACATCCCCCGCATAGTCTGTAACAGACTGTAGGGGCAAGTGCTATTAGCGAGCACCTATGAAGGCCGGCACGTCACACGAGGGGGTGGGTGGCCAACACCACGCCTTTGTCTCCCCAGTGGCGATGTTTACACACCGCACCAGGTACTCATTTGAGGCTGAGTCGACCTTGGAGAGGCCCAGGACCGGTTTAGATAATCGTCACTGGTGTTGGCCGTGAGCGGGAATCGAACCCGGGTCGCCAACTTCGTAGTGCAGCGTTGCGCTAACCACTACACTACCGCTCTCCACACACACAACAACCGCCATTCGCCAATAAGTGGCGGTGACGTCACCACACACAAACACATGGAATTCGTCCACAGGCGTCATGTGTAACACCTGCACATGCACGCACAGAGTACGTGTACACGCACACACACAGAAGACGTAATTGATGTGATGTTATGATATTATAGTTGACGGTATTGTGATGTGATGTCATAGTTGATGGTGTTTTGATGTTGTGATGTCATAGTTGATGGGGTTGTGATGTCAGAGTGAATGGTGCTGTGATTTTGTGATGTCATAGTTGATGGTGCTGACTGATGGAGAAGTCTCCAACACCCGTGACGTCATCAGCCTGGTGAAGAAGAACGCAAGCAAGCATCGGTTAGACTCACTCACTACTCACTAGTTCACTCACTCAGCTACTCACTCAGCTGCTCATTCAACTACTCAATCTTTGTTTTCAATTGAGTATAATAGTGCAGGTAGTGTAGTGTAGCGTCTAGTAGTGCAGTAGTGTAGTGTATAGTCGCGTAGTGTATTGTAGTGGTTAGTGGTGTAGGTAGTGTGTAGCGGCGTAGTGTATAGTGTGTCATAGTGTAGTGTGTGGTAGTGTGGCGTGCAATAGTGTGTAGTAGTGTAGCGTGTAGTAGTGTGGCGTGTAGTAGTGTAGTGTAGCATGTAGTAGTGTGGTGTGTAGTAGTGTAGTGTAGCGTGTAGTGTGTAGTAGTGTAGTGTAGCGTGTAGTAGTGTAGTGTAGCATGTAGTAGTGTGGTGTGTAGTGTAGCGTGTAGTGTGTAGTAGTGTAGTGTGTAGTAGTGTAGTGTAGCGTGTAGTAGTGTAGTGTAGCGTGTAGTAGTGTAGTGTGTAGTAGTGTAATGACTTGGACAACTGGATACGTGGAGCCTCTTTATTTAAGACACAGTGACTATACTAGGCCCGGACTTAGTTCTTCAATCTGTGTGTGCGTCTCTGTGTGTCTGTATGTGCGTGTCTGCGTGTCTGTGTGTGTGTCGGTGTGTGTCTGTGTGTTTGTCTGTGTATCTGTGTGTCAATGTGTCTGTAGCTGCTTCTCCTTTGGAATCGGTGACGGTGCCTCCACGGAGCTGATCAAGGGGATCGCCGCCAGCGGAGGAGGGACGGCCGAGTTCATCACCGGCAAGGAGCGCCTGCAGGGCAAGGTGAGCGCCGTGCGTCCCTAGGTCCGCTCAGACTGAAAACCGCGAACACGGAGACCCTTCACCTGACAAGTGCCACTCGGATGCCCGGGTTCTGGGCGTCTCTCTCTGTATCTGTCTTCTGTCTCTATGACAGACATCCAGAGGGCTGTCTGTCTCTGTGTCTCTGTCTTGGTATCTCTCTGTGTCTCTCTGTCTCTCTCTCTGTGTCTGTCTCTTTCTGTGTCTCTGTGTCTCTATCTCTCTCCGTTTCGACCTCGGGGGAGGCCCAGAACCGGTTCGGTTCATTTCCCGCTCACGGCGACCATCATTGACGATTATCGGAACCTCCCTCCCCCTCTCCCTCCCTCTCCTCCTCCCTCCCTCCCTCTCCTCCCTCCCTGCCACCCTCTGCCTTTACCTCACCCTCCCTCTCCCTCCATCTCCCTCCGTCTCCGCGCCTACCACCCCAGGTGCTGAAGGCCCTGAAGTGCGCTCTCCAGCCCACGCTGACCTCCGTGTCGCTCTCCTGGAGCCTCCCCCCGGGCCTATCGGCCATCGTGGTGCCCGAGGTGCCGCGCAGCATCTTCCTGGGCCAGCGAACCATCCTCTACGCACAGCTCGCTGGCACAGTGAGACCACACGCAACACGCGGGGACACGGGGACAAGTCTAATTGAGCGTCAGGAGGGGCCGGGTTTTAGGGTCAGAGTCTGGAGTGAGACTTAGGGTTCTAGATTTGAAGCTTTCGTGACTGCAAGGATTCATACTCTTAGTTCTTTCGGTAAAGTCACGTAGGTAAAAAATTAACTTAAAATGAAAAAAAAGAATCACGACGTTTCGGAGGCAACGCAAGTCTCCGTCATCAGGTGGGACCGTCACAGCCAGATTTGCTGCATCAAGTGAGGCAGGGATTCAAGATGCAAGCCCTTAAATACAAGTTGAGGGGGGAGGAGAGGGGGGGGAGCTTATCAGAATGTGGTAGCCAATGAATGGAATGTATCGGGAGGGGGGGGGGGCTAAAAGAAGGCACGAAGTGCTCGTAGGCGTCGGCGACGTGGACGTGTTTGTGCGCAAGTGACTATTGTTGCACATGCTAACGTATTGGACGAGGAGGGGGGGGGGCTAAAAGAGAGTACGGGGTGCAAGTCTACGTGGAAATGTCTATGTACAAGCACCTGTTGATACACATGATAGAAAAGAACGAAAATGCCCATGTTTATACCAGTGTTGCCTGACAATAAAGAGAGTACTGTTAAACACTGGGGATGTTAACACTCGGTAAAGTAAAATAGTGCCTGTCAGATAAGATGGTCCAAAAATGTGTAGTTAAATCTTTTTTACATGGTTAATAACATCTTTCCAATGATTACTAAGTTTGTACCCATCATCACGGTGGAAATTATGTCGGTGTTTGTATATCTGAATGGCTTCGTGTACAAACCTTTGATGGTAGCCAGAGGGTTTGCAGAGCAGCTTAGTCTTGGAAAAAACAATATCATGAGAGCCCACCGCGTTGTAGCAATGATCGGCAACGGCGGAAGACTCAATTTTGCCGTGTTTCAAATCCGACTTGTGCTCGCGGACATGATCAGAGACATGATGTATTTAAGGGCTTGCATCTTGAATCCCTGCCTCACTTGATGCAGCAAATCTGGCTGTGACGGTCCCACCTGATGACGGAGACTTGTGTTGCCTCCGGAACGTCGTGATTTTTATTATATTTTTTATTCATTTTAGGTTAATTTTTTACCTACGTGACTTTACCGTAAGAACTAAGAGTATGAGACTTAGGGTGACCGGGTCTCTGGGTCAGAGTGAGACTTGGGGTGACCGGGTCACGGGGTCAGATTGAGACTCAGGGTCAGAGTGAGACTCAGGTAGGCACCGGGTCTCTGGGTTAGGCTCCCGGACTGAGCCTCTCGTCTCTGCAGGCTCCGGCTGCCCCATGGCAGGGCGAGGCAGTGCTGAAGTACTCCCTGCATGGGGAGTCCGTGGAGAACCGGGTTCCCGTCACCAGCCAGACCGCCAACCCCGGCGAGTCCCGGTACGTAGCCCCCCTCGTTCACCCACCCACTCATTCACCCACCCGCTTGTTCACCCAACCAATCATTCACTCGCTCATTCACCCACCCACCCACTCATTCACCCACCCGCTTGTTCACCCACCCGCTCGTTCACCACTCGTTCGCCCACCCGCTCGTTCACTCACTCATTCACCCACCGACCCACCGATAAAGATGTTCAAAACAGGTGGCTGCCAAGGCAGCAACAAACGAGCCAGCAGCATTTTATAGTCCATAATAAGAGGTATAAATGTGTCCTTACACCCACCACCACCCGACACAGCCAATCAGTGAGGTTTGTGACATAAACAAAACGTGCCAATTCGTTACTAGTACAGCACTACACCGGTTGTGGGTTGGAGAGTAAACCCACAACAGCGTTTATAATTGGAGTACCCGTGTGACGTTTCGCCGGTAATTACAACAACAACAACCGGCATCATCATCAGGCGGACAGCCTCCGAGTTGTGGCGAAATCCTCCTCCTGTTTCATTCTTAAATAGATGTCCTGGGATAAATGTGATGTCGTCACCTTGTGAGCCAGTCAGGTGCGAAGGCTAGAGGTGGTGGGGGGGGTTAATGTAGTCATGCAAATTGCAATGGATATCAATTACAATGGATAACATTACTAATTGGCTGTGTCAGTTGGTGGCGGGTTTAATGACACATTTACGCGATCTTACCCAAAAACCTCGATTATGGATAATATTGGTCACTAAAGCCTCCAGATGTTAAGCATTTTACAGCCCAACAAAGGACCCACAGGCATCCAGGAGGCTGCCTTGAATATGGACCCCATGAGGCTTTCCCAGCACCCCGCTGGCCACAGCACGGCTCGCCGAGCAACCCGTGCAGGCTCCGGCCCGGGTGTAGGCCTCACGGTCACCCAGGGAGCCATGTGAAGGCTGCTGAAGGAAGTTGAGCGTGCTGGCCCACACACCATGGTGCACGGCCATGAGACCGCTGATCACGTGGAGTCGGGGTGGAGGCAGCTATCCGTATCTGGCAAACCCAGGGAACAGCAGCTCAGGCAGACCCAGGGAGAGACTCAGGGAGCGGTTCTCAGGCTCAGAGTGAGTGAGCCTCTGCACCCCCCTCCACCGTAACCTCTCCCAGTGCCACCCTGCACTGGCTCGCAGCCAAGGCGATGATCCGCCACCTCGTGTCGGGTCCCAACACCCCCGACTCTACGCCGGCGCCGGAAGACGCAGAGCAGCAGAAGAAGAAGAATGAGGAGGAGGAGGCGGAGGCCAAGTCTCGCCGGGAGCGAGTGGTGGCGCTGAGCGTGGAGTCGGGCGTCGTGTCCCCCTACACGGCCTTCGTCGGAGTGGACACCGACTCCCGCCAGCCACTAGGGGCCGCCATGCAGGAGCGCCCCACCCCACGCCATCACTTCTTTGGTGGTTCAGGTTAGAAGGGGGGGGGCGGGGGAGGGGGGTGGGAGGCTTTATGTGGTCGGTGTGTGGGTCGATGGTACGGTCGGTCAGCGTGTGGGTCAGTCAGTCTGTGGGTATGTCAGTCGGTCATTGTGTCTGATGGTATGTCAGTCAATCGGTGTGTTGTATGTCTCTCTGTGGATATGTCAGTCGGTCTGTCTGTGGGTCTGTGGTAGGGTCTGTCAGCCTGTGGGTCAGTCAGTCTGTGGTTATGTCCGTCAGTCAGTTGTTGTGTCTGTCTGTGGGTATATGCCAGTCATTTGGAGTTTCTGTCTCTCAGCCTGACTTGATTTTTGTCATTTACTCAATTGCTGTCTCTGTCGGTCTGCCTAGTCGGTTGGATAGCTAGTCGTTTGGTCTGTTAATCAGTATTGGTCGGACGGTCTGTCAGTCAGTCAGTCTGATAGTCAGTTGGTGTGTTAGTCGGTCGATGTTTTAGCCAGTTTGGTGTGTCAGTCATTCGGTGTTTTAGTCGAAAATCACGAACGACAATGGCAACGACCCCCCCCCCCCCCTCCTCCACGGTTGGCGGCACAGTCGGGGGGGGGGGGGGCAACGGTAGCGGGCGGCGTGGGCACGGCTTGGGGGCCGGCGTGGGCGCGGCATGGGGGGTGGCGTGGGGGGTGACGTGGGGACGCTAAGCGGCGCCGTGGTTGCCGTTTCAGGTTTCAGCGTGGTGTGTGACTCGTCGTCGTATAGTATGGACGTAGTGGACGCAGGTGGGTGCAGCTGTGCAGTTGCGGATTTGACGGCGGTGGTGGTGGCGGCGGTGGTGGTGGGCACGGAACAAATCAAAAATGAAAACCGCTCACGGAGCCACACGTGCACGGTGTGCACACGCTTTGGCCCAGAGTGGTGAGGACAACGATGACGTGGTGAGGATGAGGACGACGCAGTGAGAACGATGATGACACAGTGACGATGACGGTGTGGTGATGACGACGACAACGCTGTGAGGACTACGACGATTCGGTGAGGACGACGACGTGGTGAGGACGACGCGGTGAGGACGACGACGATGCGGTGAGGACAATGACGTCACCGGCGTGGCGCTAGCTAGCACGGGATGATCGCTTGCCGGTAGCGGACAAACGTCAGAGGTGTAAGAGGGAGGTGGAGCGAGGCGGAGGTCCCCCGGTACCCACCCCCCCCGTCCCCCAGTGTTCTCGGTGTGCTTTTTGCAGCACCCATGCATGGCGGGAGTAGAGGTGTTTGCTGTATCCTCCAGTGTCTGCTGCCACGAGTGCATACACGGCTCTGATGCCACCCTGAATCAACGTTTCAGCAAATGCAAAATAGACGCAGGCACACACAGACACACAGATACACAGATACACATGCAGACAGACCCACCCAACAACAACCGACATTCGCTACTAAGTGGCGGTGACGTCACCACGGTGCTTGTGCCAGGCTATGTGCACATTGATGCCACGTGAAGTGTCGAATGCCCGCCTGCAGGAGGTCATGGGGCAGACCCAGGTGCCGCGGGTCGACTGACTGGCCGATGCACCACCTGTGCTCCCTACTGTGCCAACTTGTTGTGTTTTAGTCGCCCAGCCCTCCGCTCGTTGTTGTGAGCATCACTGTTCTGCCCTCCATTGTTGTTGGAGGGCGACTACCTTAAACTGCCTAGTAGCACCCTTCATGAGCCTCCTCCACAGAGGCCGATCTTGACACCGCTGGTACCAGTCATTGGCAAGTCCACTCAGCTGCACATCCTCCTGTACCACATCACTCCATCTCTTCTGTAGCCCGTGCCGCACCCGTTTATCCCCCTTTATCCGGTCTAACAAAAGCTGTTTAGGCATGCAGTGGCTGGGCATGCGGGCTACATGACTCAGCCAACACAGCCTTGCCTGCCGGAGGAGCTCATCAATGGGACTTTGTCCAGATCTTTCAAGGATTTTTGAGCTCCTCGCACAATCCAACCTGGTTAAACCCAGGCTGGATCGTAGGCAGGCCAGCCTAAATGTTTCTAACCTGCGATGATGTTCCATTTGGGGGGTCCACGTTTCACAAGCATAGAGAATGGAGGGCATGACTGTAGCCGAGAAGACCTCAATCTTCGTGTGGAGCGAAAGACCAGGTAGCTTCCACACAGTGTTATGCAACCGAATGAAAGATAATGCCGCTCGACTGATTCAGAGTGAGACCTCTGGTCGTGAGTACACTGCCCAGGTATGGTAAACTCTTCACTCTCTCCAGAACTGCCCCATCACCAATTTGGAGTTATAGGGGTGGAGTGTCTGATGGTACAAAATTTCCAGGCAGGTGCTTAGTTTTGGTGGCAAGCTCCGGGTTCAGCAGCAGCACCTCCAACTCCTCCTCTGAGTGAGCAACAATTACCAGATCATCGGCATACAAAACATGATTGACCAATAGGGGGCCATCCCTTGACCACACCTGGGCATCGATCGGCCTCCCATTGTATCTGTACCAGATGGATATTCCTATGGTGCAGCTATCAGAGACTTCACGAACTACGTGTTCAAAGTAGATGGTAAATAATGTGGGAGCCAGGGGACATCTCTGTCGCACCCCAAGTTGAACAGGGAATGGCTCCGACTCCCAGCCACGTAGTTTTACCTGGTCCCGCTCACCATCATGAAGGTCCTTAATGATTGTGAGCAAAGACTCACGGACTCCGAAAGCACAAAGAACAACCCAGAGCCCCCCATGCCTTCTGATGGTATCATTGGCCTTGACCAGGTCAATAAAGCAGAGATTTAGGTCTTGTTCGAATTCCCTACACCTCTGCTGTAGCAGATGGACAGAAAATATGGCATATGTGCAGGACTGCCTTTTCCTAAAAAAACACATTGGGGCTCTGCAAGCCTCTCCTCAGCGTGCATGGCAAGGCGATGTTGAATAATCCTTGCCAGGACTGAGAAGTGAGATGCCCCTGTAGTTGTTACAGTGTGTGTGGTCCCCCCTGCTTAGAGATGTGGACCACTAGGGCATCTTTCCAATCCTGCAGAACCTGTCTAGTGGTGCAGACTGTTATTATGATGTCATGTAGGGCAGTGTGTGCACAAACGCCACTTGGCAGATTATCTCTGCCCGGTGACTTTCCTGGTCACACGGGATAACGACTTCTTCCAATATTTGAGGCACTGCAGCCTCAGCAGGGTCATCCCCACTTTGTCCCACGATTTTTTCCTGTCTGAGGGATTTCCCCTCCCCCAGAACCTCTAATGATGGCAATATGTGTGGCGCTGCAAGTTACTTTTTATGGAATTAAACAGCGATTTGTGATCGCGGGCCACTGAGGCAAATGCCATTTTCTCAGCAACCCGTGACCACCACCCATCCTTGCAGCGCCTCATGGCTCTCCGAACCTCCAAGCGAAGGCTGTGGTAAGCCTCCTCATTCTCTGATGTGGGATGCTGTTGACGATCCTGTCGCTTTTTCTTAGCCAGCCTGAACACCTCCTCTGTCAGCCAGGGTTTCTGGGGAGGTCTGGACCATGTGTAGTGGGTTCAAACTGAGACTCTCTTTGGAGGCAACATTTATTAATACCAACACACTAACAGGAACGGGTAACTGCCCCTTCACCAGATAATAACCTATGGTGGTGGTCCACCAGGCTAACTACACTCATTTCACTTGGAGTAGCTACGAATGGACGGGACCCCAGCTTGGGTCCAGGTCCACGTGTTGATGACTCTTCTTGGACGTCAGACGTTGAACGTCGTTTTTTCAGGATAACAACAGCAGCCGGTGTCACTTAGGGCTCCGGCTTATAACCTGTGTGGCAGGGCTCACTCCGCCCCTAGTCATGCCCACCTTCTCCAAACCTCGAGAAGGATCTTCACCTGGACAACCAGAGTGCCATGGCCCCTTTGTAAACCTGAACCATGCCCGGCACTCTCGCCCTCTATCCTGTAGGGGCTGGCACTGCACGCAGAGCGTGGTGCCATCTGTCACTGTCAGTCAGTGCTCACTGAGCCCCGCTAGGACCCGTACTGCATACACATTCAGGTGGTGGCAGCGATGTCAATACATTGCGCGCCGTGCCTTTCCCAGGCTGGATTCACACAGTGACATCCAACGATGTCACTACACATGTACCCAACGCAGCCATTGCAGCTGTATGAGCCACAGTCCTAAACCTCACCTATTTCCCCTCGACATCAGGAGAAGTGGGGGACAATGCCAACCCTAGCCACAAGCGATGATGAAATTCTCACTTGCAACTTTCATCAGCTAGCTGAGACCAAGCCAATATGGTTTTGAAGCGGTCCTGGGTGTATACACACCACCGGAGTGGAATAATGGCAGGCGCATATTACAGATGACAAGTCGATGGTCAGTGGGCAGATCAGCTCCACCGTAGGTCCTAGTGTTAAGGACATGGGCCCGCATCCGCTGTTCTGTCACTATGTAGTCCAGCAGATGTTCTTGCTTCGACCCGGCATGCATCCATGATGTTGCCGGAACTGCATGTTGGTGATTACAAGCCCATGGGCTGCACAAAAATCTAACAGCCTCCTACCATTGTTATTGAGCTGATCTGGCCCAAGCCTTCCAATCACTCCAGACCAGGTGCCAGCATCATTACCAACTCGGGCATTAAAGTCACCTTACAAGATGACTCTATCCCAAGGGGCCACTTTAGCCAGCACCTGTGACAGGAGGTCATAGAAGACATCTGACTCATCGGCCTTGCCTGCATCCCTGCACGGATATTCATCTTCGGTGGGGGCATAAGTAACCACGACCACCACTCCTCGCCTCTGGTTGATGGGAAGGTGAGCCCAAAGTAGCCTGGGGCTTACAGCTTCCTACACCTCACTGCCACGCTCCCACGCCCCCTTCATTATTTTGTTCAGAAGAAGAGCCACTCCCTGTTGTTTAGTAGTCTCCTGCCCCGAGTAGAGGACTGTCCACCTCTCAGTGGCAGGAGCCAGAGCCGGTCCACCGGACCTCCTGAATGCCACAGAGATCCAAGCGGTACCGTTCCAGCTCCCGACAGAGGAGTGGCAGCCTCTCCTCCGCAGTGAGCGTTCGAACGGACAAATACACACACACAGACACACACACAGACACACACACACAGAGACAGCTACACAGATACACACACAAATACAAATACAACAATCCTCCGTATATCCTTCACAGACTGTCGGGGCAAGTGCTGTTAGAAAGAGCCTATGCAGGCCGATACGGTTAAGTCGACATAGTGAATACCCAATACCAGTTCAAATAATCGTCACTGGTCTTGGCCATGAGCGGGAATCGAACTCGGTTGCCGGGTTCATAGCACCGTACGGGAACCATTACACTACTGCTCCCCATAGACACACACACAGACGCACACACACAGATAGCTACAAAGACATACACAGACACACACAGATACACACACAGATACACTCACATAGACACACACAGAGACATACAACAGCCAGGCACGCCGTAAAATTGCATCGTCGTTCATCAAGCGTCTCTGGCACGGCACTGGCACGGATCGCTCGTGCAGTGGAAAGAGCTCGGCTGGAGGAATGTTGAATGAGTAGTCCCCCATCTTTGTGTGTTTTACAGCTCCTAAACGTGGTGCCATGCGGTCCATGATGCCAATGGCTTCTCCAATGATGTGTGCTCCTGTTGCAAGTGGGTACAACAATCCGATCCACTGAATGCACATTTCCATTACAGCACAAGCAGACACACACACAGATTCGCAAAGACAAATTTGCCTCCTCCCCTCGTATAGTCTTAACAGAATGTTGGGGCAAATTCTGCTAGCGAGCTGGTACAGCGCACCAGGGGGTGGGTGGCCACCACCACGTCCAGCTGACTTTGTCTTCCAAGTAATAAAGTTTTAACACGGACAAAAAGACAAGGATTGCCCGTATAGCTCCACCAGACTGTTGGGGCATGTGCCATTAGTGAGCAACACCTAAGAAGAAGCCAAAATGCGTTAACCCACCGCTCCCCACAACGGCTACAAACATCTCATCGCACGTGTTCAAGCTCTGATAATTTTAGTGGCTAAATTCAAGATCCTAAGAATGGCAGTGGCTAAATTCAAGTACCTCAGCATTTCAGTGGCTGAATTAAAGTTCATGATAATTTCCCTGCCTACATTTAAGTTCCTGAGAGTTTCAGTGGCAATATTGGAGATCCTGAGAATTTCCGTGACTAAAATCAAGCTCCTGACAATTTCAGTGGCTAAATTGAAGTTAATGAGAATTTAATGACAAAATTTAAGATCATGAGAATTTCAGTGGCCAAGTTTAAGTTCATGAGAATTTCAGTGGCAAAATTCAAGTTCCTGAAAATTTCATTGGCAAAATTCTAGTTCATGAGAATATCCGTGGCTAAATTCAAGCTTCTAAGAATTTCAGTGGCGAAATTCAAGATCCCGAGAATGAAATTGCCTAATTTCGAGCACCTGATAATTTCAGTGACAATTCAAGCTCCCGAGAATTTCAGGCATCGGGGTCTGGATCTTACCCATGACCTCCCTGCATATCAGGACAAGGTATTTAACAATTTCTCTTAGCCACCGTGACTCCTGGGTTCCCTCTAGATCGGCAAGGTCACGCGTTTTATTTGGCTTGAGTGTTTTCACATTATTTTTGGGGGGTTGTCTGTTTGCATCTTTATAGAGCAGCGATCAAAGAGGAGTATATTTGGCGGAATGTTTGCATCGTTCAAGAAGAGTCCTCCACAGAAAACAGGTTGTTTTTTTTATATCCCAGTTGCACCCATTGATGATGTCTGCGAACATACACACAGACACATACACATACATACCCACAACATCCGCCATTCATCACTAAGTAGTGGTAACATCTCCATGGTGCTTGTTCCAGGCTATGTGCATGTTAAGGCCATGTGAAGTGTTGAACGCCCACTGACAGGTCACAGGACAGACCCAGGTGCCATGGGTTGGCTGACTGCGATGACTGGTAGATGCACTAGCTGTACCCCCTACTGTACCAACTTACTGTATTTTAGCCACCTGGCATTCCACTCATTGTTATGAACTTTGCTCCTCTGCCCTCCGTTGTGGCTGGAGGGTGATTGCCTCCAATTACCCAGTTGCGTCCTTTACAAGCCTCCTCCATAGCGGCCGATCCTGACACGACTGGTACCAGTCGTCGGCAAGTCCACTCAGCTCCACATCCTCTGTTACCACATCAGTCCATCTCTTCTCCAGCCCATGTCGAGCCTGTTTAGCCCCCTCTGTGCGGCCAAACAGAAGTTGCTTGGGCATGTGGTGGCTGGGCATGTGGGCTACATGACCCAGCCAATGCAGTCTTGCCTGCCGGAGGAGCTCACTGATGGGAATGTGTCCAGATCTTTCAAGGATTTGTGATATCCTCACACAATCATGCCTGGTTAAACCCAAAATGAATTGTAGCCATGCTAGCCTGAATGTTTTTAACCGGCGCAGATGTTCCATTAGAGGAATCCACGTTTCAGAAGCATAGAGGCGGGAGGGCATGACTGTGCCTGAGAAGACTCGAAGTTTCGTGCTGAGCGACAGACCAGGTAGCTTCCACACAGTATTGCACAGCCGATGAAAAGATAATATCGCCCGACTGATTCGGAGTGAGATCTCTGCTGTCAAACCAGAGCTGGTCATAAGCACACTGCCCAGGTATGGGAAACTCTCCACTGCTCCATCACCAATGGGGAGCTGAGCGGGTGGAGTGTTTGGTGGCACAAAATACCCAGGCAGGTGCTTAGCTTTGGTGGGGCTGATGGTAAGGCCCCAATGTGGGAGCCAGAGGACATCCTTGTCGCGCACCCCAAGGGAATGGCTTCGACTCCCGGCCACGTAGCTTTACCCGGGCCCGCTCACCATCATGAAGGTCGTTAATGATTGTGAGCAGAGAGTCAGGGACTCTGAAAGCACGAAGATAAACCCAAAGCCCAGGCCTACTGATGATATCATAGACCTATTAATGATATCATAGACAGGTCAATAAAGCAGAGATGTAGGTCTTGTTGGAATTCTCTACACCTCTGCTGTAGTAGACAGACAGAAAATATGGCATCTGTGCAGGACCGCCCTTTCCTGAAACCACAGGGGGCCTCTGCAAGCTTCTGCTCAGTGTGCCTTGCAAGGCGATGTTGAATAATACTTGCCAGGACCTTACCCGGCACACTGAGTGAGATGTCCTTGTAGTTGTTACTGTCTGTGTGGTCCCCTTTCTTAAAAAGAGGGACCACCAGGGCATCCTTCCTATCCTGCAGAACCCGTCCAGTAGTTCATACTGTTATTATGATGTCATGTAGGGCAGTCTGTGCACAAATGCCACCCTCCCTCAGCATTTCGCTTGGGAGGTAATCTCTGCCCAGTGCCTTCCTGGTCTCAGACTCTGGATCGCCTTTAGTACTTCCTCAACAGATGGCACCTCAGCCAGCCCCTCACAGGGGGTGACTTCAAATATTTGGGGCACCGCAGCCTCCGCAGGGTCAACCCCACTTTGTCCCACAATCTTTCCCATGTCGAGGGATTTCTCCTCCCGCAGGACTTCTGCAAACCTGTTCCTGGGGGTCAGAGATTGGATCACCGTTTTTTCCCCTAATGATGGTAATAGGTGTGGTGCTACAGGTTACTTTTTTGATGGAGTTAAATAGGGATTTGTGATCGTGGGCCACTAAAGTGGGCCACTGAGGCCCGCGATCACAAGTCCTTATTTAACTCCATAAAAAAGTAACCTGCAGTGCCACACCTATTACCATCATTAGGGAAAAAAACACACAGACACGCACACACACATACAGCTATACAGATACACACACAAATACAAAGCCAACGATCCCCCATATAGCCTTAACAGATTGTCGGGGCAAGTGCTGTTAGAGAGAGCATATGAAGGCCGATCCGACTAAGTCGACATAGTGAACACCCAATATCAGTTTAGATAATCGTCACTGGTTTTGGCCATGTGCAGGAATCGAAATCGGTCACCGGGTTCATAGCGCAGTACTCCAACCATTACACTACTGCTCCCCTTAGACACACACTCAGACGCACACACACAGACAGCTACAAATACAGACACACATACACACACAACACAGGCACACACAGAGACACAGGCAACAGCCAGGCACGCCGTGAGGTCGCATCGTCGTCCATCGAGCGTCACTGGCACGGCACTGGGACTTATCACTCGTGCAGTGGAAAGAGCTCGACTGGAGGAAGGTTGAATGAGCGGTCCCCCATCTTTGTGTGTTTTACAGCGTTTAACCGTGGTTCCATGCAGTCCATGATGCCAATGGCTTGTCCAATGATGCCTGCTCCTGTTGCAAGTGGGTACAACAATCCGATCCACTGAATGCACATTGCCATTACAGCACAAGCACACACACCACAGATACACACACACAAACAAAACAAATACAAAGATACCCCGTGTGGCGTTAACATATTGTTGGGGCAAGTGCTGTTAGCGAGCACCTATGAAGCCCGGAATTGCACATGAGGGGGTGGGTGGCCAGCACTACGCCCGGCCGCATTTCTCTCCCTAGTAGTAATATTTTACACATTGCACCAAGTACTCATTTGAAGCAGAGTCGACCTAGGGGAGGCCCATGACCGGTTCGGATAACACTGACACACGCACAGATGTGCACATGCAACACGACAAGGATGTGCACAGACACACAACGATGCGTGACCAAGTGCATGCTGCTGATAGCAATGCGTCTCCCCCTCTCGGCTTCATCTCAGGTCGATGCTGTTCAAGCTCTGCCAAGATGTCGATGCCCGAGATGATTATGAACTCGCCGTGCAGGTCAGATGACCTGCACGGCCCAGGAGACGGACAAGAAGCCATGGAATGCGATTACTTTGCTCCAGACACTCCAGCTGAGCTGCCCTTCCTGGAGCTCGTCGACCTGCAGAGGGCCCACGGGGCCTGGGAGCTGTCCGCCCAGCTGGCCTCGGTCGTCCAGTCGAGCGAGGAGGCACTGCGCAAGGAAGCTCCTGCGGTGAGAGACTCCCTTCACTACCACTGGTTTGTACTGAGTGTTTCTAGTGAGACTCTCTTCACTACCACTGGCTAGTAGTGAGTGTTTCTAGTGAGACTCTCTTCACTGTCACTGACTAGTAGTGAGTGTTTCTAGTGAGAGACTCTCTTCAATATCACTAGCTAGTAGTAAGTGTTTCTAGTGAGACTCTCTTCACTGTCACTGGCTAGTAGTGAGTGTTTCTAGTGGGAGACTCCCTTCACTGTCTCACTAGCTTGCAGTGCCTGCTTGTAGCGAGTACTTCTGGTGAGAGGATCGCTTCACTCACCCACTGGCTTGTGTGCTGCGATGGCCAGGAGATGTTAACTCCCTATGACGAGGTGTGTGTGTGAAGAGGTGTGTGTCTGTGTGACGAGGTGTGTGTGTCGAGGTGTCTTTGTGTGTGTGACGAGGAGTTTGTGTGTGTGACGAGGTGCAGGGCGTGAGCGACGAGGTGTGGGCCACGGTGGTGGCCCTGGTGTGGCTGCACGCTCTGGCCCCAGACCACCACGACGAGTGGGAGCTGCTGGCACTCAAGGCCTCGGCCTGGCTGCGTGGGCAAGGTGAGTGTGGAGAGGGTGACGAGGTGAGGGTGATGAGGTGAGGGTGACGAAATTACCTTGATAAGGTGAGGGGTGGGAGCTGTTGGGATTCAAGGCCTCGGGCCTGGCTGTGTGGGTGAGTGTGGTGAGTGTGACGAGGTCAGTGACAATGTTGTTGATGGTGATGTTGCTGATGATGATGCTCATGACGACGATGTTGCTGATGATGATGTTACTGATAGCGACGATGTTGCTGATGATGATGTTGCTGATGACAATGTTGCTGATGATGACGATGTTGCTGATTATGTTACTGATGATGTTGCTGATGTTTCTGATGATGATGATGATGACGACGATGTTGCTGATGACAATGTTGCAGACGATGTTGATGATCATGTTACTGATGGTGACGATGTTGCTGATGATGATGTTGCTGATGACGATGTTGCTGACGACGATGTTGCTGAAGACGATGTTGCTGACGATGTTGATGACGATGAAGATGTTACTGATGGCAACGATGTTGATGACGATGTTACTGATGATGACGATACGATGTTGCTGATCGATGTCCTTCCAGCTGTGGACCTGACACTCTGCGTGAAAGCCGCCAATCAGCTGCTGAAGACGAACGTCGACGTAGGAAAGCTGTAGCCCAGTCGGTTACCTGGCAACCATCATGAGCTTCCTGTTAACCGCTATCATGTACGTTACCATTCCCAATCCAAAACTGAAATCCTATAAATTACCATCCCCATAATATAACCGCAATCCTATAAATGACCATCCCCATCATATAACTGCTCTGCTTATACATTAACATCAGCATCCTGTTAACCACAATCCTATACATTACCATCAACATAGTATAACCACAATCCTATACATTACTATCCCCATCCTATAACTTTTCTTATACATTAACATCAGTATCAATTTAACTCCAATGTTATTCCTTACTATTAGCATTTCAGCCTTCATCCCCTGTCACTCATGGCCCGTCACCTCTTGTGTCTTCAGGCATCGCTGCACCGCCCCTACTGTACCACCCACCACCCTACTGTACCCCGCACCGCCCCTACTGTACCCCACACCGATCCTACTGGACCCCACACTGCCCTACTGTACCCCACACCACCCCTACTGTACCCTGCACTGCCCCTCCATGACGCTGTGCTCTGCCTCCACACCCCCCACCCGCCGCGCTCTTTTCCATCAGTTTCTCAAAACAACCCATTGCGAGTTAATCTACGCATTTTTGCCTGGAGTTACGTCTCCCCTTAAAGTTTTGTTGGCGATGGTGAAGTCAATAGACGATTTGCTGTCAACAGTAGCAGCAGCAACAGCAATTTCGTTTCCTTATTTGGGGGGGGAAAATTTTAACTTCGCATGACCTTCCTGCAAAAACAGAGGTCAGACTTGGTGAGGCTTTCGTGGGTTAACAATTGTTATAAGAAATCATGGGCTTGCGGGGTTGGTGGGAGGGGTTAGTTGTATCCAAAAATATTTCTGGGCGAGACCGGAAGGTTGATGCATCTTGAGATGCGAAGCCAATGTCAGAGATTATACCATGAGTGGTGGATTCAATTCAAGTGGCCGGGATGTCTGGCTCCTGTAATTATCTGTGATGAAGCTCATAAACTATTAAACATTTTTTTTCATTTTACCAGGTGTAAGGTCCCATTGAGCTGTGTATCTCTTTTTTAGAAGCCCTGACCTGGCTATCACAACGAAGTTGGCTTATCATCGCCTGGACATTTATAGCGGCAGCCAACTACTCTAAATGCATGATGTTGATTGTAAATGTGGAGGAAAAAAACCGGACGACCCGGAGAAAAAAAAGCCATGCGACCACAAAGAGAAAGAGAGACACGCAAACTCTAAATATACAGCAGGTGTCAGGGTCTGGATCGAACCCACGAGCCACTACATTTCACGCGAGGTGGTTAACATCTCCGAGCCATCGTGGCGCCCCTAATAATTGCCGCATTGGAGACACTCCAGAACCATAGGTGTCGAAAGATCCTGGGTTTGAATTGGGCAAAATCACCCAAGGCTTTACAAGCAAATTGATCGACAATTCATGCTAAATTAAGCAAGACGCTATGGACTGCTTTGCATAATAATCCCCCGTCTCTCCACGTAAAAAAAAAAAGTTTCTCATACTACCTACCTACCATCCGCACGGCGTTCTGGACGTGGGTGATTTCAGCAGCATTGGTTCAGCAGAAGCAAAACTCTGGACTGGGGTTTGCCATTAGGAGTATCAGCAGCAGCAGCAGTCAGGCTCTGCCTGAACCAATAATGACAAATTGTCCAGATGTTTATAGACAAGGAACTCTCTCTATACTCTATGGGGGTCTTAGTTTAAAACATAATTATGCCTTATTTTGAGCTGTGCAGGATTATGGTTTTGAGTTTCTATACAAAGAACACTTTCGCAATTTCTCACTGCACATTTTGTAGTTCACACAGCGTCATGAGCTGTACCATGATGGCCGAGGCAAAGCTTTACGTTCGGTAACGCAATCTGCCTCGGTGTGTGTTTACAATAAGTGTCATGTTCATAGTGGCCGTGTTATGGACACACTGAAGCGATTAATGCCAAGGTCCTGAGTTCAAGACCCGGGTCTGGGTGTCTCAGGAGGTTCATAGTGGCCGTGTCCATAGACATTGAAGCCATCAATTTCGAGTGCCTAAGTTCAATACCCGCGTCTAGGTTTCTCAGGACGTTCATAGTGGCCGTGTCCATAGACACTGACGCCATTAATGCGAGAGTCTGAGTTCAAGACCTGGGTCTGGATGTCTCAGGTTTCGTAATGGGCAGTGTCAGGGACACTGAGCCAGCACTGCTGGGGTCCTGGGTTCAAGCCCTGGAACTGGGATGCATCCCACTGCCTTCATGTCCACAATGGCCTATGTTAAAAACTGTCTAATAATACTCCGCGATAGTATTGTGCGTTGAGGTGAAATATATACTCCAGTATCTGGGAATGGATTTAAGCATGCGGCTTTACTTTTTACTGTTCGGTGTGATAAATGGGTGTCTTTGGTTGGTTTGCAGAGTTTACCATGGTTATTGTTGTTGAATGTCGATGCTTTTAAGCTTCAGGAAAATAAAATGCAGTCGACTAAACTTCTCAAGGTGTGTGCGTTGCGTGAGTTTGCAGAGTGTGTGTGTGTAAGAAGCGTGTGTATGCATGCGGAGTGTGGGTGTGCAGTGTATGTGTGTAAGAAGCATGTGTATGATCTCAATACTCCAGCACTGTCAATACTCCCAATATTCCAGCACTCCTCAATCCTCTCAAGACTCCAGCACTCTCAATACTCAGTGCGAGAGGAGGCTGTCACATGGCTCTGTGGCTACGTCGGGCTGAAGGTCCACTCGCATTTTAACATGGACACACTACATGTGTGTTTATTTAACAATTTTCTCTCCCCTTGTATCTAGTTGTTCTGTGTAAAAGTCATATGTAAAAAAGAAAGCATTCGCCAAGTACACCAGAATCTCGATTATCCGCGCGAATGACGGAGAGGACGGCCGCGGATAATTAAAAATCATGGATAATCAAAAAATAACATTTTCTCCAGATCTCTATGCCAACAACCACTAATATTATGTTTGAGTTAAGAAAATGTAGTTTGTTTATGACCAAACAAAAACTTGCAGTAAAGAATCGACTGATCAATGATTTGCGTGCTCAGTGATAACACTTTCCTGATTCCGCCCAGCAAAAGACTCGGCACATTAAGTGGACAGCAGAGCCATACCAATCAACATCAAACTCCTCCCCACTGTTGTAAAGATATGCAACTACTGTACTGTAGTGGCGATTGCATCGATTTACGGATTAATCGGATCAACATGTATTCGGTTTAAGCACCGTGATTGGTAATCAACATTTCCAAGAATAATGTAAAATGTTTTAGATTATTAATTTGAGTTATTTAATGTCAAAATCTCAGGTGCGAGGTTAATCCGCAAATCGGATAAACTGCACATGTGGGATGATCGAGAGTATACTATCAATAAAACTGCTAGTTCATGCGGCCAACATCAGACCCAAGTAAACCCACAAGCATTTTAAAGAGCTGGCAACAACATTCATTAACCTTGCCCCAAATATGCCTGCACACCTGATGGAGCTAGTTGTAATTACTGGAGAAACTTCGTACTCGAATTGTAAATGTTGTGGATTTGTTCTCCAACACACCAGTGTGCTGTACTAGTAACTAATTGGCATGTTCTGTTTACGTGACAAACTTTACTAATTGGCTGTGTTGGCGGGTTTAACGATATTTATATTTATGCGATGTAACCCCAAACTTAAATGCTATATTATGGACCATTCATTAACCCCACTGTGCGGCCACGAACATTTGCCCCTACAAAATAGTAGTCCGAAGTGCGGTGCTTGTGTGAAACCCCACGGACCCAGGTGACAAGAGTGGCTCGGGGCAAGGTTCAAAGGTGACAATTTGCGAGGGGTTTCTCGTGTGACCCGGCTTTTCGTGTGTGATGAGTGACCGCAGGCCGCAAGCCTCCGGTTGTTTTTGCTACGAAAAGCGAGGGGGGGGGGTCAGTCTAATACCGGCGGTTCTCAACATTTTGTTGGCTACTGTTATACCCCCCTCCTGGTTGAATTTTGTTTCAACCGCGTTACCACCCTTTCCTTACCTCACCTCAACGTAGTCCTGTTAAATAAATGTTATGAATGAAAGCAATCCTCGATTTACGCACTTTTGTAGTACGCCATTTTGTAATAACGTCGCACTTTGTATTTAGACCTTTTATTGACACGCGCAAAGTATTTTTCGGAATAACGCCCCATCCACACCGCGACACAAGCCACCCTAGCCTGGCACCGAAACCCAATGGCGTTAGCCAGCGGCCAGCATCTCACTGTCAGTGTCCATTGGTGTGCTCTTTCCTTCGTCCACAACGCAATACCAGAGTAGTTACAATATTTAGGGGACTAAATGGAGAGCTACTAAAGATTTATAGAATAGGTGCTGAGAGAAATTAGAAAGAGAACAGGTTGTGAAGGGATAATTAAGAACACAGGTGGCCAGATGTCTAACATCTGGAGAGGAAGGGGTACAGGTGGTGGTGGGATAATGAATGAGAGGGGACTTTAGCAAGAGAACACAGGTGGTGAAGCATTAAGAACCGAGAGGGAGATATAAAAGGGGAGCGTTGCTGGCAATAGGTCTACTCATATATGTGTAGGACTTGAAATATCACGCGCCACGTGTTCTGTTGCTATGCAAGCGAGCAGCGTACAGTGGAGGCAACTGAGGATACAGTTGTTGTTGTCGTGATATTAAGTGGGAGGTCGTTAAGAGATGCCACAGGTGTTAAGGGTAACTGAGGACGCAGGCCGGTGATTGGTCAGGAGGGTAAGTGGCTGATGACTGGCGCCGAGTTGGTGGCGATAACATGGTCACGTGAGGCTGGGTGCCTGGGGGCGAGTAGCGAAGCGGGGGATGAGATAATTAATTGGGGTTGATTGGTTCGGGTATAAAGGCATAGCGTAACGGAGAGACGAGGAGTCTTGGGGTCTTGGAGTCTTGGTTGGTGTTGGAGTCAGAGTTGGAGTGGTTGGTGCCCGGGCCAGGGACAGAGACAGAGCAGTAGGGAGCAGGAATAGATACGATAAGGGTAGATAGAGAGAACACAGTGTACGGTAGCAGTGGATAGAGAGAACACAGTGTACGTAGCAGTGGATAGAGAGAATACAGTGTACGGTAGCAGTGGATAGAGAGAATACAGTGTATGGTAGCAATGGACGGAGTGAGTACAGAGTAGGGTAGCAGCGGAGTAACAGACCTTGGGAGAGAGGGAGAGAGAGCGAGCGAAGTCGCGGAGCGGAGCGAGCGAACGGGGAGACATGGAGTGTTGTTGATGTCGGGTTGTGCATTGGAGCGAACGGAGA